CAAGGCTGGCTGGGGAATTCTGGGAGTTGAAGTCCACACGTCTTAAAGCGGCCAACGTTGAGAAACCCAGACTTGGACTGTTCCAAGGGGAGGCACATCTGTGTGGAGCCCCCAGGTATGTTCCCAAGTCCCAAACATTGGGATAGGATTTTACAGGTGGGTCACGCAAAGCATACATGACGCCCAACCATGTTCCAGCTTAACCATTGCTCTTTACAAGCCATAATGGCCCATCTAATTGTAGAGATCCATGGAGATGGCCTTGAAGGGAATATTCAGAAGCCAGTTATAGGAACGAGGGCAGACGCCCTGGGAAGGGGGATAGTATGTGGAAGAGGCTCAGGTTGGCTCCGGAGATATTATGGATTATAGAGGGAGGGGAGGTAAAACACAAGCAGACTTGCATGATTCTGTTCCTACGTATATAGTTAGAGCCTAAAGTGAGTTGGTTTCTTGATCTGGCCTATCTTGCAGGGCTGGCATCAGGCGATCCCTAATCATGGTTTGTGCTATAATGATTGTGATATAAACAGGAAAAACAGGAAAAATAGAAATTGCAGCCTGCAGATAACGTTTCTGTTAAGATCCACTCGATACTGAAGTCTTATGACACCTGAAAACAAGTGGGAAGAAATTACAGAGACTCGCACTTAAGAACAAAAAATATCCACAAGCATCTTTTTTTTTTTTTTTTACTTTTCTTTATTGAGTCTTTGTAAAACTTTAAATAGTAATTTTTTTTCTATGACATTTCAGGAAAAAAAATACCTTTTCCCATTGTGAATATTGAAATATACACCTTAAAATTGACCTACAAATTGAAACCAAAAATAAACACTTGAACTCATGTCCTTTTTTGGTAAACAAAATGTAAACAGTTCATATGTACAAATCTACAACCATTCATTTGTGAAAGTGCTCTTTTGCAAATTAATAAAATGTCCGTTTTTGAAATTCCAGTGAGATCATATTTTTGAGAAATAAAACTACTTTCTGGAAATCCACCAATTTTATTTTTTCTTTTATATTTTATATACACATTTACATGTAACGAATATCCATTTCTGTCTTTGGAGTAAAATATTTCCTACTGAAATGCTAAGTTACGACGATAAAATACTTTATCAGATTCTTGATAAAGCTGTATTTATACATTACAGAGTTTTACCAACATTTTGTTCAGTCTGATACCATGGAGCAAACAGATGGGAGGCTGGTTTTAGGACAAGCGGAAGTACAAAACTGTTCCAAAGTATTAGTGTAAACCAGGATGCTCAGAGAAGGAAAAACCACCTTCCACTTTAAATTCAATGTTTTTAAAAAGAAAAAAAAAGTCTTGGATTGTTTTTTAATATATAAAATGAGGCAGAATTTCATGGTTTGGACTGCAAGAATTGTCTTTGTTTCCCAAGAGGATTTTAGTATAAACTGAATTAGGAACTTTTTGTTTCAGAAAGTTTTATATTCAGTCCCCGCTCCCTTTGATTAACAAAGCTTTCTTGGAGCCAGACAGGGAAATTTACTCTCAAGATTTGGGGTGCTGTTCCTCAAGAACAGACAGGTCTAGATTCCTAACGCGGCAGCTTCGAATTCAGATCTGTTTCAGGAGAATCAGAAAGCTAAACCAGATCTCTACAAATGCTGCATCGGTGCTGGAAATCACGACATGGTCAGGGGGCTTCCTGTTCACATTGGCATACCAGACGGCGGGAACAAGTCCACCACGACAGACGCAATTTGGATTTCTTCCCCACTGCCTCCTCTGCCAAATGTTTCAGGTCAGTCAATTAACAGCTCTCCAGGCTGTTTGGCAAATGGCTTTTGAAAATAAAGGGAGTTTCCAGACCAATTTGGGGATCAAGTTGTTCAAAAAGGGAGAGAAAAATGAGTCCTATATCTATGCAACAGAAGTTCTGCTTGACAGAACAGATACGGCCAAGTTAATTAAGGTTCCACTTCCTGAATTGGTTGCAATGGATATGCAACAGATCATCAACTGGTTAGTGCAATGTTTCTCAACCTTGGCAACTTTAAGGCTTGTGGACTTCAACTCCTAGAATTCCCCAACCAGCCATGCTGGTTGGGGAATTCTA